GAATTAGATTGAGAAGGTAGAGTTAAAGAATATATTTTTGAATATTTAGATTTTTTAGTTATATTGTGAGCTTTTTCTTATTATTGTTAAAGAATATTACATAGTAGCCATATATGTTGATGAAACTAATTTAGAGTAGCATTTGATAGGGCTATAAAGAAGGAAGATATTATTTTATGAAGTAATATTTTAACATTGTTGTAGTAAGATATAGAGAAGAGGCCTTCAATAAGATTAAGAAAATGAGAGTGTAGTAGAGTATTTGTTTGTTGTGACAAGATAATATAGATTTTATCTAAAAATTCAAAAAAGATATTTAATTGTTGAATATAAATAAAAATTTTAAAATATATATATTAACAAATTTTGGTAAAAATTAGTTATAAATTTAAAAAATTTTATTAAAAATGAAATTTTATTATTTATTCAATTTTTTTTATACTATATAAATTATATAAAAGGGGTGTGATGACCTAGTGAAGTGAACAGGTTGTCAACTTTCAAGTGGCAGATCTAGTGTTTAAATTCTTTAGACAACAAAATTTGAATAATTATATCTGTATTATGATAACTGTGTCTTATTAATTAGTTGGATAAAAGAAGAAGATTTGTAATCTTAGATGCACTATCTTGAATAAGAACTCAGAATATTTATATAAAGTATAATGTTACATGTATATAGAAGAATGTTAAATAACTGATGTTACATAAGACTTCAGTACAAATTTATAATAAGACCACTGGATGCATAACTCTAAGAAACCAAAGTACAGAAATCCACTTGAAAATCCTAAGTAAATAGATAGCATGAATTTTTGATGATACTACTAAACTATCAGAAGTCTCAGAAAAAATAACTAAAATAGAACAAATAACAATATATGTAGAGGAGTATATATCAACCAGGCTACTAAAAATCACCAGAGGAAAAGAATCTTAGAATACTATACCAAGTCATCTGGATTGGTAGTCTGAGAAATCTTGTAGATTCAAAGTAAAGAGAAGATGTTGAAAAAGAAAGGTATTAGGGTCTTAGTGAACTTTACAAAAGTATAGTAGTTTAATGATTAGTCCTGACTGCAAATGATAACCTAGACCAAAGTGGTACTGGGTCAGTTATAGTTATAGGATACAGAAGGCTCTAGTAGACTTAGTATAAAGTTAAATATGACTTAGTGACATGATATAGTTGCAGTAACCTTGCAGTTGATAAGGTAGAGATGAATACAGGAACTAGAGTATTTAAATAAAGAACTCACAGATGGGTTCTAGATATGGCAACTAGTATAGAACCTTCAGGCAGACTACTTAAAATAGACAATGATTAAAGTTGTACAAGTGACTAGTTGTACACTCTTTCTATGATTGTCTCTGTAGCTGTTATATACAATTGTTATATGCTGACTGATTATTAATAAACTTCTGGATTGCAATTACTCACCTTAACATAAAAAAAAAAAAAAAGTAAATTATATGAAAATAATTTATCTTTAAGAATAAATTGTAAAACATAAAACAAATATACAAGTTATTTAATATAATTATATATAAAACAAAAAATCTAAGTTGGATATGAGTAAAATACAATACAAAACACTGATAGATTTAAATTGCAAATAAATATGTCTAAATTCTATGTTTTAATAGAAATATAAAATGATAAATAATATATAATATAAAAGGTTATACCAACTATAACAATATACTAATAAAGACTTAACAACATGGTCTTATTTTAGTACTAAAAAAAATAAATGTATTAAAAATTTTAATTTTATAAATTTCAAAACTTATAAAAGAAAAAAATAAAGTTAACAAAAAATAATTTTATTTTATAAATAATATAATATATAGTACAATATATTAAATTCATTTTTTTTTTAGATAAACATATTTATGATAAAACACTATCACATTATTATAGTTAGAATTTTTCAGAATTACATATTCAAAAGTATATATTTTTTATTTAAAACAGAAGACTTTTTATAGAAAACACATTATATATTAACAGTCTTTAACATATAGTATTTTAGATATTATAAATTTTAATAATTATAAGAATTTTATTGAATATGTCTTGGTAAAAATTTTTATTGATAGATATATAAATATGTGACATATATGACATACATTAGAATGAAATTATTGTAGATTTAGAATGCACCTAAATTGATTTCAAATAAACATAGGTTATAATAGAATTCTAAAATGTAACTGAGTTATTAAAGAATTCCAATTCAACTTACAATAAAATTAAGTGTATTCTAAATTATTTCATTAAGTACTTTGTTTTGGAATTTAAGTTGCTTTAAATAGAGTCTATTTATAAGTAAATTTAAAAGCATTACATGAAGTTTTTACATCTATGATTAGTGGTTTATTTACAATGATTTTTATCATACGCGTTTTTGCATTTGCATTTAATATTATCTACTTGTGAGGAAGATTTTCTTGAATGATTATATGCGTTAAAAAAAATTAGTTTGTGATAGAAAATTATTACGTTTTCTTAAGAATCCATCATTGCACTTTTTATACCGAATTACTGTGAAATTTCAAAATTTTGAGTTTGTTATAGGAGGTTCAATATCAATTGCACTATCTAACTCTGGAAACTTATTAGTAATTCCAATAATGCTGAGTTGTATCCAAGCTATATGTGTCATTTTCCAAAACTTCGAGGACCTTGCAGGGGAGTGTCCTTCAATCGTTGTGCTTGTATTTGCTAGATCTTGTAAGTCTTCACGTGTTATAAAGGTTTAACGTCGACTATTAGCTGATTTACTGATAAGATGTTTGGAAAGCGATTCTTCGAATTCATTATGAGGTAAAAATGAATAATCTTGAGATTCGGTTATCATGGCATCGAATTTAAAATCAACTTGATATTAAATTTGTCGATTATCAAATTTAGGATCAACTTTAGATTGGTTTTAAATTTCGTATTAACTTGGGCTACATTCCGTTCCAACTTAAGTTGGTTTTAAATCCACAATAATTCTATTTCGATGTACGACATATATAAGCAGTAGTGCCAAGAGAAAACAGTACTTATATCACTGATACTGTGTATATGAGATGCATTTTATTTAGAGTCACGCATGGGCGTTATTTTGAAGTCTCACATACTACTTTGAAGGAATGCGATTTTCTAAATAACACCCATGCCCGTTATTTCGTGAAAATACGGTATATTTCGGTATAATTTTTAGGTCTTGTTTCATTGATTAGAAACATGCAAAACGTTCAGTTTTAAATATTAAAGTAAAATTTAAATAATAATTATATAAATTGATTTCTCAGGGCAGTATACTGTATATCCAAGTTAGTTTTATAATCGATTCTTTGTACTATAACCTCTGATCACAAAGCAAGCCTTTAAACGAGACTAATAAGCTAACTCAAATCTTCAAGACTGTTTATGGTTGATATTAAACTTAATATATATATAAGATTTTGCAATTTCGCAATGGCACATTAATTGTAAATTAATAATATAAATTATCAAGACTCAATATATACAAAGAAAAATTGAAAATAACATAAACAGGAATGAGGTTAAGTGATACACTTAGATCTGTCGTTCAATGTATAATTAACATATAATTCCGTGAACATACCTAGCTAATATATGTTAGTCGAATCTTAGATTAAAGTGTGTTATCTGAAAAATTAAAGTTTTTTAAATTAACTGGTGTATTACTAATTTATCTATATTATTGTATAACAGGATGCTATTAACTAAGTATTTTTCTAAGTTATTTACAGTGTAATTAATAAAGTCAAATATCTGAGTGACGATACATTGTCAGTGAAAAAGTTTGAAGCAAATTAAATACAATGTATAAACCTAATGATTCTAGAATTTGAAACTGATTTTATTTTTATATACTAAAACAGATTAAAACTAGGTTTAATATATTTAAAATAAAATAGCTTCTAAACTTTAAGTAATAATAATTTCGAATTATATAGTTAGTTAATTATCTTATTAGTCTTATTGTAGTTTTTAAAAGCACCATACAAATCTTTGCGCTGCTGATTAATTACTATCATTCTATTACTTTATTACGTTCTTATCCTCTATTTTCATATATACACTTCCTTTTATCCTATTATTTATGCACTTACTATTTTTTACTTTTCTTTTTTCTTATTTCTAATTGAAGAACACATATTTGCTTAATAATAAATCCACAAAAATAGTAAGAAAACTTTGTCCAAAAATTCTTTTTATGGCTTAATGTTAGTACTTATTTGTGGGTATTTTTTTTTCCAGTCTTTCATCTGAAATATTGTACTTATTATACATTTAATTCTTTATGAACCTCATACTGTAACTTGTTATTCAATTTTTTAGTATACAAACCAATATTTTGAAATTGCCATCAGACATTTTTAGAATTATTAATAAATACGCATTGGTATATAATGTAAAGTTTATTCAAGAACAAAATAATCAATCATTAATCCCAATTGCTTGCGTCTTTTCCTGTTAAAAACAAATTTAGTGATAAAAAATAAATCTTTAAATATAAAAAGAATTTAACCTACCAGTAGTAATAAAAGATTCATCCAAATTTCCAAGAGTTTCCATATCTTCTTGTTCAATCTCAAAATCATAAACATTTGTATTATTAACTATATGTTCTTTATTCATACTTTTTGGCAAAACAATAAAATTGTTTTGAAGGCCCTATTTAAATTTATTCATACGTATGTTAATAATATTCTCCTAAAAACTTTTACCAATATAAAATAAAGACACACCCAACGAATTAGAATTTGAGCAGGGGATTTATTATATTTCTTAGTAATTTCAATGAGAGTAGGATCATTAAATTTTTTTCCTCTTGTAAGTGGAGAAAATGCTTCTATGATAATATTATGTTCAATACAATATGATACAATTTCTTTTCTAGTATGCCAAGGATGAACCTAAATATTTAAAGCAAGTTTTTTAAAGAGAGAAACAAAATATTATACGTAAATATATAATCAAAAATGATAAAAGATTTACCTCAATTTGATTAACGGTGGGTATAATTTCGGGATTAGTATCCATCAACTCCTTTAAATGGTTTACACGATAATTTGAGACTCCAATACTTTTAATTTTTTCTTGCCTAACTAATTCTTGTAAAGCTTTATAACATTCAAGACGGTTTTGAGTACCAGGTTTGGGGCTATGTACTAGCACCAAGTCGAGATAAGATGTTTGAAATTTCGATAAAGAAGTTTCGACAGATTTAAGAGTTGATTCATAAAGTTGATCTGCAATGTTACAGTAAAATTTTATTTAACTTAATTATTCCTACGTATAAAATAAGGTTTAGTACACACCCTACAATAAATTACCGGAATGATCATTATTAATAATTAGTAAAGTATATTAAAAACGAAACTTTATGCATTATATAAAAATCTTTAATTTTATTAATAGCTTTATTTATTGCCTATTTAAAATCAATTATTTACGTACACTTTTTATAAAGAAACATTCTTATTCTACGTAAAACATTTTCACATGTAAATGTATATATATATATATATATATATATATAATTTTTAAAAATCAAAAAAAAAAATTTTAGAAAGTATAACTAATTAGTTTTAAATAAGCAATAAATAAAGATTTTTAATAAAAAAAAACCAAGGATCATTCTGGTAACTTATAGGGATAAGGAGATACGTGTATACCTTTATTCAAAATTTTTGTAGTGATAAAGATTTGATCACGCGGGATTCCACTATGAAGGTAAAGTTGATAAAAGTTGTAAAGGATATACGAGATAAAGACTTTTGTAAATATTTTACCTTTTTATAATACCAATTCCAATATCCTCTTCATTTTGATATAGAGTTGCAGTATCAATGTGTCTGTATCCGGACTATACAAATGTGAATTAAAAAAAAATTTTAACCCATTAAAAATAAAAAATTTAACTCATTAAAAATAAAAATTTTAACTCATTAAAAAAAAAAAATAAAAAGAAAAGAATCTTACTTCCAGGGCCCATAAGACGATATCTTGAGCAGTCTTACCTTTGGGAGTGCTATGACCTTGACCCATTCCACCCATTCCTATTGCTTTAATTTTCAAGAATAAAAAAATATTATTATTTTTAATCAGCATAATTGTTTAGAAAAAGGTTTGATGTAAACCTAGTAATGGGATTTTATGTCCATTGTTCATTGTGGCAGTTGAAGACAATGATAGTTTCGGATTCATTATAGCGACAATCTAAAAGTTGGTTTAATCTGATGAAATTTGTAAGAAAGAAAAATTACATGTAAGAAGGGCAAATTTTAACTTAATAAATCTAAATATGTATAATTCTACAATAGCGATAGTACGTAAGCTGATGCATCTTTTCCGAAAATGTAATTTTTCATATCTAATATTGTATACGTACGTATTACTGAAATTTACGTAAAGTTATGTAATTTTTATATTTCTTATCTTCGAGGAAATCAATTATTTTTACTTTTTAAGCGTCTTGGATTTACGAGAAAAGTAAGTGTAATATAAAAAAGATGAATTCATTTTCGCATTTTGCAAGTATTTTAATCATTTTTCATTAACAAAACTTTATCACGAAAATGATGATTCTTAAAAACGGTTTGTCGCAGAATCCTAATAATCAAAACCTTTCTGCTAACACTTAGATAATAATGTAAGAATTAATATTTAAATTTAGTATAATTAACTTACTAAGTCAACATACACTACCACAGTAAAAATGGGTTGAATTTACTAAAACATATCAATGATGTTCAACACCACATGATATATCTCAAAAAACCAAGAAACTGTTGAGATCCCATGTCTTCAGACAATCCTGTCGTTATCTAAAAGTTAGTCTAATTCATTTATTTTATTTATGCATATATTTGAAATATACACTTTTAAGAAGTCTTTGAATTTTTTTTTCGAACCAAGAGTTTCTAACACAATTTAGATTTAAATATATTATATTGGTATTGATATTTGTTAAGAAACAATAGAAATTTATTAATCTCGCGAAAATTTAGTAAAAATGGTTTAACATTTCTTTATTTATTCTAAATCACGCAGTGATGTTTGATACAATATAATGAATTATATATATGTTCTAAAATTAAAAAAATATATTTATATATGTATATATTATTATGTATATGTGTAATATGATTAAAAAAAAAAATTAGAAATCCTTTAAGCTTGATTAGTCACAAGTTTGGATAAGCGCTTAAACATTTTAAAGGGTTTATTATTCTTAGCAGCCGGTTTAATATTTTCAGGAATTTTTTCGGAAATTATCGAAACTTCGTTGGTCAACTGTTGTCTTAAAATTGAATGTAAAGTTCTAGTATCTTTAGCAAATGATCTTATACCTTCGGCCAATTTTTCAGTGGCCATGGCATTTTCATTAAAATCCCATTTAAACGAAGATTCGTCGTAAGTGACTTTCGATACTAAATGATGATGCGCTATTCCCAAAAATAATTAAAGGTTATAATAAATATTTATAATTTTCCAAAAAATTCATAAACATAAAA